ATGCTGAAACATGAACACAGTACACGCAGATGGACAGCAGGCAGCAGTATAGATGGACAGTTCACAGAAGTGAACAATCCACTGGTTATGGATTTGGAAATCTTTCAAACAGAAGTAAGGTTGATGTCCAATAGAAAAAAAATCCAGGAGAAGTATAGAATTTTTTTTAAAAAAATCAGAATGCTAATAAAGGATAACTTGTATCATTAATTTATGGGCAAAAAAAGTTAGCAAAAGACAAAAAATAAAGGAACAGAGAACCAATCTAGTGCAAAACCATTGAAGTCACAAGAGAGAGAATGTGAAGAAATAGTTGTGATTAATATTGCAAACTGCTTCAGAAATCAAGACAAATGAAAAATGGCCAGTGAATTTTAAAACAATAGTAAGAATCTGGAATTAATGGTTGGCAATATAAGTTTGATTCAAGTTTTGAGTCACTGCCTTATAATCTTACTCCTTAATTCTCACACTCAAAAAAGCCCTTCCTATTGCATTATTTTACTGCCAGCAATCCAAGGGTTACTAAGAAGTAAAGCATTTGTGTCTAAGAATTCTACAGCCTTTTTAAATACCTGCATGAGTTGCAAAGAAAATTTATTATTATTTAACCTGTGATTATTCTATGTCAAAGAGACAGAATAATCAGATGATTGCCTTACGTGATGCAAAAAAGCCTTTTCCTCAAAGTGGCCAGTGATGTACCATTTCTGTTACAACTGAATTTTAAAAAGTGTTTAAAAGAGGGGCTGGGGCTGTAACTCAGCGGCAGAGTGCTTGCCTCGCATGTGTGAGGCACTCGGTTTGATCCACAGTACCACATAAAAATAAACAAAATAAAGACAAGCTGTCTATGTACAACTATAGAAGAAAAATTTTTAAAAGAAGTGTTTAAGGGCTGGGGATGTGGCTCAAGTGGTAGTGTGCTTGGCTGGCATGCGCGGGGCGCTGGGTTTGATCCTCAGCACCACATACAAATAGAATAAAGATGTTGTGTCCACCGATAACTGAAAAATAAATATTAAAAAAAAAAGAAGTGTTTAAAAGGGGCTGGGGTTGTGGCTCAGCGATAGAGCGCTTGCCTAGCATGTACAAGCCACTGGGTTTGATTCTTAGCACCACATAAAAATAAATTAATTAAATAAAGGTATTGTGTCCAACCACAACTGAAAAAAATATTTTTTAAAAATGTCCTTAGGGTTGGGATTGTGGCTCAGCGGTAGAGCGCTCGCTTAGCACAGGCGGGACCCAGGTTTGATCCTCAGCACCACATAAAAATAAAGGCATTGTGTTGTGTTCATCTACACCTAAAAAATAAATATTTTTTAAAAATGTGTTTAAAAGAGGAGATTGGCATTTTTGAAAGTTTTCTTATCATCCTGATCCTTTTCTTTTTTCCTTCTTTTGGAGCTGGGGGTTGAACCTAGGTCCTATACATGCCGAGCATGAGCTCTACCACTTTACTGTACCCTTAGGTTCCCATATTCTTTTCATTTCAAAACAAAGTTAAGTGCAAACAGTACATGTAGTATTAAGACCAATTGCATAACATTTATATCTATGATAAAGATTGACATGCTATGACGTCATTGTTCTTGGTTTCTCTATAGTTGGCATTATTGACCACTCTTGTTAGAACTCTCATCTTAGGGCTCTGATGTCACCCTCTACTGCTTTTTACTCCTACCCTTCCCCCTGCCAACTGCCCTTTCTCTGTCTTCTTCATTCTTTCTTGACACCATATCCTAAATCTAAGTATTTCTGCAGGTTCAGCTCTAGCTGCTTTTGTGTGTACATCTCATGTGTCTTCTTCCTGGGGCTCACCGGGGGTTTCAAGCTGTGCTCCTGAGCCCAGTGACTTCTCACAGTTGTCCCAGAGCCTGCTGAAGCAGAAGAGCCTTATACCTATGTTTTTTATGTACTGAGGTTTCATGTAATGTTTTATTTCAAAAAAGAAGTCATTTCTGCCACCTAAAAACATAAACCCATGTATGGCAAGAAGACAAGATCATAAACCATTGACTTAAATTTCTCTCTGAATGAATGACACCCAAATCAATACCTCTGATCTCTCATCTCAGAGCCAGTCTTGGGTTTTCTTTTGCACACTAGACTGCAGATTCCACATGTCTGATTTAAAATTTATTGTCTTTCTCCTGCCAAATTATTTTTCCCCCAACAAAAGCTCCTACTTCTGTTCATTTCTTTGCTGTTCTCCGAAGCATGCAAGTTTAAAAAATATATAGTTTTGTCTTTTTTCTTCATTGCTCAAAGTCATCAAGAGTCTCTAATACTTATTGAGCTTCCACAGACATGATTCACATATTCATCCATTTCTTCTCTTTACTGTAGTTTTCACAAGGATTAAGATGTACAACTCCTTACGTCTCGGACTGTTCTCAGAACTACCGAAGAAATCTGACTCTGGCTCCTCACCCTGCAATATACTTTAAAATCCTGAGATAGATTTTAGTTTCCTAAGATAACATGTTCACCATCATCTTCCTATATACAGTCCTGCAGCATGTCTTCTTTCCCTATTTTAGTTGTGTTAAATGGAGATCACACTTGTCTCAAAACTAATGATAATACAGCATTTGATTTGGTGCTGTGTATGTTCCAGGTACTGTGTTAAACACTTTATATGCAGTATCTATTTAATTTTCCAGACAATTCTATGAACTAAATATTGTCATTATCTCTATTTAATGGATGTGAAACAGAGATTTAGCTTCTTGTCCAAATTCAAACAGCATATAAATGGCCAGGCCAGGATTTGCATTCTGAGCCATCTGAAACCATAGGTCATATGTTGAAGCACTACATTCTCAGACACCCACTCACACCCCCACCCCTTTTTTTGGTACTGAGGATTAAACCCAGAGGTGATCTACCACTGAGGTATTTCCACAGCCTACTTTTTATTTGTTGAGACAATACCTTGCTAAATTGCCTAGTCTGGCTTCAAGTTTATATCCTCCTGCCTTATTGTGATGACACAATAAAGATCCTTTATAAACTCATCATTAGATTGTAAGTTTATACTTTTCTTGTGCTTATTCTCATCCCCAGAGCCTGGCATAGTACCTAACAGATAAGGAAACAGGATGGCTCAAAGTTTGAGAGTCTGAGCTCTAGAGTCAGGCTGCTGGGTATACGTTTCAAGTCTCCTATGTAATTACTATGTGACCTACACAAGATTACCAAATTCTTCGTGCTCTATTTTCCTTATCTAGAAAATGGATGTAGCCAAGTGTTGACATCATAAAATTTAAAGATTAATTGATAGAAGATAGTTAACGATTTAAAAAAGTTTCTGGCAGATTGTAAATATTAAATGAATAGTTGTTGCTGTTAGCAGCCCACAGTGAATGTTTGTTCAGTGTACATTATTCAGGGTCTAATCTTGACTTTTAAATTCATGTCATTTAGTCCTTAATATAACACTGTGAGATAGGTACTATTATTATCCATATTTTATGGGAGAGAAGATTAAAACTTATGTTAAACAGCTTGCCCTAGATCACAGTTTGTAAATGGCTAGATACAGGATTTGAACTCGGACCATCCTGCTCCTACCTCATCACTCAGCCCTCACACAGGTCCTTCCCAGTCTTTTCTGCTTGGCAGTGATCATAGAACATGCCTTAACGTACTGGAAGGTGGCATCGGAGCGATATTGAGCCTCCCAATATATTTACCCTGTTTCCTATGTCAGTAATATAGTAAGTGCAGAAGCATTAAGATTTAATAGATATGTGTACTTAGTTCATGATCATTGAATGCATAAATGAATAAATACTATCATTGTTTCATGCAAGGTCCTTGTGCAAGGCCATTAGTGCTATTCTCATCCAATAAGAAATTAGTGAATGATAATGATTATTTTCTTTATGATTTATTAATTGCCTGCAGCGTGAAGGTCATAAAGAGCATATGAAAACTGAAGACCTCCTTTCTTCAAGATTAAAACAATAACACGATGACTATATATTGTGAATTTGAGTTTCTTCCTTTTTTTTTCTGAGAATTAAGAATACTGGACTGTATGGGGATGCTGAAACAACCCTTTTGTATATCTGCTTCCTTCTTGCCTTCACACATCCTGTAGTATTTATGCACTCAATTTAGAGACCTAATGGTAAAGAAGACACGTAAGGGCTTTCATGGATCTTGTCTTTTAATAGGAAGAGACAGACATATACAAGTAAACAGAATCACTAAGGATTGTGATAGCCCCCCTGGCATTTTATAGTTTCCCATGATGCAGGAGTTGAAAAGTGGGCTTCTATGTTGGAGGACGGTGGCAGCCAAAACAGGGAAGTGCTTTGCAAAAGGCGCGCATGCGCGCGCACACACACCCCTTTCAGAAAGAGTGCACACAGGCTCCTTATATTTAGTTGGTCCCTGGCTTAACTGTCTCATGCTTGGATACAACATTTGTTATTAAATAAGAAAGTTATATAAAAATGTTATTTAGCCATCTAGGTTCAAAGAGACTGTTAACAATAATGCTATTTTTACAATAATGCAAAAGTTATACACATCAACCACTTTCACAGGTATTGCACTTCTTTTTTCCACTTTTCTGCTTCCCAGGATGAAATGGGGCCTAGAATCAAAGAAGCAATAGTTTTTCTGTCTACCTGTAAAAGATTAGCCTTTTGTCATCATAGATGATGCAAGCAGGAAAACCAAACGCAAGAAAACAGAGACGAAGCCAAAAAGGACAATTTCTGATTGTTATAGCTGGTTTCTGTTTCATATCACTGAGCATGATGAGAATGTTTTGCAGAGTTTTATAGGAACAGCTTCCACAGTACTACAGGGTGACCTCACCCTCAATGCCCTTGCCAGGTGCACAGCCCCCTGTGAAAATACAGGTCAATTTTCAACATGAAACAAGCCAGAAGTATGGAATGACATTTTCAGGTGGCAGTTGTGGTTCTAGTGCCTGTAATTAACACCTCTTAACCTCAGACTTGCCATGCCTTTTTCAGGCTGTCGAAGCTCAAATCCGAAGTTTTGGACAGACGCCTTCTCAACTTCTCATAGAGCCCCATCCTCCCAGAGGTTCTGCCATGCAAGCGGTGAGTGCCATTTTCACTCTGCTCTTTCCTGGCCTGTCTTTCAGACCATGCTTGATATTCCTAACAGTCACTCACTGTGCTTGAGGTGCTCCACCCCACCAGGGCCTGCTCTTACGCAATATGTGTTAACCCACTAACAACCAGCAAATGCCACTGCCTTCTCTTCTCGAGTCTTTGAGAAGGTAAAGATCTCCAGTGCACTAATATTTCATCGGTTCATGTTTTTTTTAATATTTATTTTTTAGTTTTAGGTGGACACAATGTCTTTATTTCTATTTTTATGTGGTGCTGAAGATCAAACCCAGTGCCTCATGCATGCTAGGTGAGCACTCTACCACTGAGCCACAACCCAGCCCTCAGTTCATGTTTTGTGTTGCAGAATTAAGAGGTCTTGATTGTCACTTCTCCTCACTGTGGGAAAAGGACTCCAGACCTAGGATTTGTTTAATTTTCCGATTGGATCCTATGAGTTTCTAGATTAGTTTTGCTTCTTTGATCATTATTTTACATTGATCATTATTTAACATCCCAATATATTTCTCAGGTTTGGAATTTTTAAACTAATTTTGATATGTAGGTATTGTTACTGAAGGTCAGGGAGAGGTTGGTGGGGGTGCTCAGTATATCAAAACTTTAATGACTTAAAACAATGATTTATTTGATTTCTCATGATTCTGAGAGTTCTATTGGCATTTCTTCTGCTCTTTTCACCTTGACTCACTCACGATGGGGCTGAGAGGATGAGCTTCTTTTTCCATGTGGACTCTCACCCTTTAAGGAAGTTAGATCAGACTCTTCCCATGGCAGAAGTTCCCAAGAAAATGAAGACAGAATCGGAAGACTTCTTGAGGCTTGCTTTTGAACTTATACATCATTTATGCCATATTTTGTTGGTCGAAGCAAGTCAAAAGCCAGTCCAGAATTAGACTTGAGCTGCAAAATAACATGGTCATTCTACCTTTGTAGTTCCTGAAGTTTCATGAAGAAATTCTTCAATGAAATGGGAAAAAAAAATTGGCACAGTAATGAATCAAATTGCATGATTCTCATAAAAGAGGTTGCTCATTACTGGAGTTGCTCAATGGTAGAGCACCTGCCTAGCATGTATAGGGCCCAAGTGAAAGAAAGAGAGAAAGAAGGAAATATGAATAATTTAAGATAAATTCAAATTCTGTGTTATGGCTTAAAGATGGCAGGATTTTGACATTAGGAAGGAAGGAGCAACAGCTAAAGGGGCAAGACACAGACTGAGGCCTGTCCACCTCTGGACTTTCTCTTTTTTTTCTGTCTCTTCCCACTTCCCCTTCTTCTGTGTCTCTTTCCCTTTTGCTTCTTTCTCATCTTCTTTCAACTTCCAGAGTTTTCCCCTTTATTTCTTTAGGAACATGAATTGGCCATAATAATAAACTACAATATTTATTTTAAAAAATATTTTATCACCTTCTCACTACATATTTTAAAACCAGTGAGACCAGATTTTAACAAACATAAAGGGTGAGTCTAGTAGGTTGAAAACTACTACACAAAGGCCATGACCAATGGAAGATAATTCCATAAAAATAGTAAGAATGATTTATGCTTAGGCTTTGGAATTAGTTTTAGTAATAGCTTGTCAGTGAGACCAGGCTGTTTGGGTGCTGGCTAATGGAAGCCCCTCTGCTGCCCCATTGACTTTCTGCCTGGGTCACCGCACAGCCATGGTTACTGAGGCAATGCACACGCTCCCATGCCTAGCCTTCCTTGTGGCAAAAGATGATTGGTTCATTGAGGCAGATCAGCTTTACTGTCCCTAGGTGGGAAGGCACATGCTCACATGAGGCGGGGGCACCCTGTTTCTTTTTATCTTTATCCTCTGAATTAAATACCTGAACTTCTTTTTAGACTTATGTAAATTCTGGTTTTTGCCTTATACATAGGTGGGTGGAAAAGAAAGGCATAGTAAAAAGAAACTAGAGTTGGTGGCAAGTATACACTTAATCTGGAGGAAACCAAATGAGATCTGGCTACTTCCACTTCAGACCAGGCTCGCCTGAGCACCCCAGGTTAAAAGAGGTTTTCTTCTCTTAAAGCTTTTTATCAGTAGCTCTGCTTATCTGTGGCTGCTGCCATCGCCACAGAGCAGCCCAGGAAGGTGGAGAGCGCTGTCTTACTGCTGGTGCTCCTCATTCATGCTTATTAGCGAAGGTTATGATGGAGCTCCTGAGAGAGCTTCTCGTGGTATGCATGTGTGTAGGGAGCTCTAGTCAGGATGGGGTGTGCAGGAACTGACTGGAGGGACAGCTGGTTGTGAGACTGCTGTGGACAATTCTGGTATTGTATCTGCAGCCTGCTGTGGAAAGTGGTTTGTCCTTGCCTGTGGCTAAGAGTCAGCCCACTAGAGTCACTATGTAAACAAGACATTCTTCCTACACATTAGACATTTTTCGTGTGTGTTTTTAAGGGCATAAACATTGGAATTATTCAATTTGAGCCTAATTATATTTATAATATGAGCTGTTAAGCCCAGAAATATGTATGAACTTCCTTTCAGGGAGACTTTATTATTATGTTGTACTCTGATTTTCTCAGAGTTTATAAATTGACTTGAGTAAATATTATTTAAAAACTATGTAATTGAAAAATAAGGCTTGGTGCTCTGAAATTATTTTCATTTCCCTTCCACAGGACTTGTTTAAAACTAGCATATAGGATTTTTGTTCATTGTTGTTCCTTTTTTCTTATTTTTTGCCTGATTTCACAGAATTCCTTAAGAACCATATAAATGGTTCTTTGTGTGACAAAAAGTACTTACTGATATCAGGGATTTTAAAAATCAAAGGCACACACGTTTATTAATTGTTTTTACCAACATTCAGATGAGTTCCCCCATCAACCATCAGTGCACCCCACCCCACACACACATACACACACACATGAATATAGCAGAAATTAATGCCACCTTGTGCTGCTTTAAGTGCATGAGCCATAATATACACCAGGTGTAGTAATTAGCAGGCACACGAAGGCTGCATATTTGTCTGGTTTTGCTGCTGTTGCTGTATCCCCTTGTGTTTTCACACCATCAGATAGTTGGATTTAATTGAGGCCACATCAGATGAGGCATTACTGACACCTTTAATTGAATGAGCATCCAGGGAGGATTAACTCATAATATTGATTGGCTTTTAGCCACTTGCTCAGAAGGGTGTCTGGGTAGCTTATTAGTTGCCTTTATTTACACCTTTATGCAAAGAGTGCAAATAGGAATTCTTAGTGCAATATGTTTTTCTAAGTACTCTTAATAACTTTTTTAAAAGGACTGATAATAAAAATGCAAATGTATTTAATTTTTTATTAGCAGTTCTGAATAAATATGTGTTAAATATATGTGCCTACACATTTACATATACCTGGTGTTTTGAAATATGGCAGTAGGAAAGCAGCCAGAAGCATTTCATCAATGTGTTTCAATTCTGAATGATACTAATCAGCTATTAGAAAATAGACATGGTTGGAGAGAATCACTGAAAATGTACAGTGCAATTATTGTATGATAGCAGATTACCACAAAGTATAAATAAAGCCAATAAATCAGAGTTGTGTTGTATATGTCTTGGGTTATGACATATGGGTTGTAGCAATGTTCCAAATCCTTAGCAGTCTTCAAGATTTATTTTGTTGCAGGTTATTAGAAGAGTGTTTCATTTAACATTTTCAATTACTTTTTGCTTTCAAAGGACAAATCAAAAAAGTTTTGAGCTTTAGTTTTTTTAATGAGAGGGATGAGAACCATCTAGATATTTCTCTTGTAACTACACTGAGAACAGTGGCATTTGCATTACAATAGGCAGTGTTTATTACTTGGTACACTATATAAATATATTGTTTTTACAAGTACATTTAATTATGCATTGCTTTGAAACACCTGTATAATTAAGTTGGTATATTACATTCATAAATTATTTCTTGACCATAATAATATATGCGTGCTGCCTAACTATTGCTTATAAATATATTTGTTTTAATTATCTCTTTATTTAGTTGTCAAAATCTTTGAGCTAATTCAAGACTTCTTTTGATGATCTTTGGAAATTACCTTGGCTAGTTTTTAACACCTATTGCCTATTCTTATCCTTCTTTTATTTTTAATCCCAAAGATCATTATGTAATAGCAACTAAAACAGTTTAATGTAATCCCAATACTTTGCCTATTTAGAATCTAAATCAAATCATTCTTTTAGTTTTCTATGGCAGTGGGCAGGGAAAGGGAGCTAATGACATTTATAGATTTTTGAAGTGTTTTTGTTAACATATTCTACTTCAGTCCCCGAAAATCCCAAATAATGCCATGTAAAAAAACAAGCAAATCATGATGCTGTTTCTGCAGCCTTTCTGTGGCTCCACTTGCAACCTGTGTTAACATGGTCTTCTTCTTCTTTTCCTGCTCTTTCTTCTCCTCCTTTGTCTTCTCCTTCATGTGTATTTGGGTCTTGTCATGCCCTCTCAACAGTATCTCCTCCTGCAGAGTCCATTGATGTTCACAGACCAAGCCCAGCAGGATGTCATCATGGTCCTCAAGTTCCCCTCTAACTCCCCTGTCACCCACGTGGCAGCCAACACCCAGCCTGGCTGGGCTGCTCCTGCTGTGATCACGGTCACTGCTAATAGACTCTTTGCTGTGAACAAGTGGCACAACCTTCCTGGTGAGTAAAGAAAGGCCAAGTGCCTGCTGAACACTGTAGGAAGATATTGTCACACCCAGGAGCATGTATCTTAACGCTTGAGCTTTTGGTTAACAAGCATGAGTCTGAATCAAAATGTCGATTAGTTTGAAAGACTGGAAGAAGCCCCTCCCACCTCTGAGGTCTGTGGTACAAATGTTAAAGCTTAAACTGTTCTTTGGCATCTGGCAGTTTCTCTTTATCCTTGGAAATAAATATTGTTTCTAGTATAACATTTTAATACAGTGACACTATTTTATTTATAAATAGCATGTACTTATTTATCAGATTTTGCCCCTACTCATTCATTTGATAAATACTTTGAATTGTCTGATATCTGACAGAAACTTTTTGTGTACAGCACGATAGTGTTTGTTATGGAGTAGTTAAATTATACAGCTCACATGCTGCATGCCCTTCTGTTGATACCTTCTATTCTTCCACTAAGAGCTGAATGACCATGCCCAATTAAAGTAACCATTAGAATCAAAAGCCATCCAAGTTTGAAGAGGTGGTAGAGTTCCTCGGCTGCAGTGTTTCTTCAGTGAAGATGCTGGTATCACTCACCATCACATCTGCCAGTCAGTGGCAGAGCTTGAACCCAGGTTTTCCAACTCAGATTTTATGATCATCCCTTTGTGATTTTATTGCCTCTCATTAGAACAGAATGTTGGGACCTGAATTTAGCACTGTTCTTTTTTGCCTTCTAATTTAAGAAACAAAAGAAATAAGGAGGAAACTCTTCTAAAGTCCTACAGATTATAGGCTTTTCCCCCAAGCCATTGTTATAGGTAGGAAGTTCTAAAAGAATATATTTTAATGGTCTGTTAATTTGTCATTAAATCTATAAAGTGTGCATAAAGCACTACAAATTAGAATACCTGAAATTGGCTGCCCAAGTATAAATTCTTGAGCAAAGTCCTCATTCAAATTAATAGAAGAGATTTTAGAATGGAATAAAAGACATTCCAAACATAAACCTGGTATACTGACCTGGTTCAATAAAGCACTGGTCACAAAGAATCTCTGGGTGGTATTAGAATTGATTAAATATAGTCATTTTCCTGGACGCTGGAAGTGAAACAATGGAAACAATTGATTAGAGAATAGATTTTAGAAAAAATGGAGATGGTCAAAACTGAAGCTGACATTTAGTCTCTCTAATTGGGTCTGCTTCAGTTGAACTCTTAGAGAAGTATATGCAAGTGACATACTTGTGTATGGACATTATGATTTGTTTAAGAAATGTACTTTTGGGGCTCTCTGATTTCTATCCATAGATGGGTATGTGCTATCACATGTACCAAGGATCTACCTACTCTGTGTGCAGTTGCCCTTAAGAGTTTTGCAAATGTTTTACCACCAGGGCCACCACAAATAATGCTTATCCTGGGTGGCTATTTCTGGCATCCTGGGAATTTCAGTTTAAAGAGAATTATAGAATATGGGAGGATATTCTATAATTCTCTTTAAACTGAAATTCTAGTCTAAAAATAGACTCAACTACTGAAGAGTCCTGCTATACCACCCCACCTCAGTCTCTGGAAGAGCTGGCTCAAGGGGCTCCTAAGTCTCCAGTTGATACCCAGGTTGTAATGCTACGCTCTAAGCATGGACAACTAAGCTCCTGGCATTCCCCTTTTGAGGAAGGAGAATGTTCTTGATTAAAAAGCTTGCTTCCCTTAGTACTTGGTGGCCAGGTGTTCTCTTCTCCATGTCCAATTTTTTGAAAAGTATGTAAAGTGAATTAGAGTTCCCTTTGCTGGAGTCTCACTTATGGGGCATCTGACAATTCTCAGCCTCAGATCACCTTTCTGTAAGGTAAGAGCCTGGGGGAATGCAGAGTTCTACAGATTCTTTGCCTGTACTTCTCCTCAGTGAGTCCTCATTGTCTGTGCCTGTGTCATTAGTGCTTTTCACTTCCACCTTTACATGCATGCTGCCTTTGTAGTGTGACTAGCAACTCTTCATATAGATAAACACAAAGATGATAATGTGGGGCTTCACCACAGAGTTACCTTTCTAGGATGAGATCTCCAGTTCTGGATTATATCTACACCTAAAAATATTAAACATCTATTCTGTTAATCTGTGCCTCATTTCAGGTATGTTTGTATGCATCCAATATTTCATTTTATCTTTACCTGTTAGAATCCCTTAATTAAAACCAACATTAGAATTTGCTCTTTCTCTTCATTAAATAGCAAATTCATGTTAATCTAACTTTTAAAAAATTTTAGATTCAGTCTTTTCTAAGGATCTGTGATTTTCATAATTCATTCACAAAACAGCTAGCTCTGTCAGTTCTTTGAGTACTATCTATGTCCTGATTTAGAAAAGGCACAATCCTGACTAGGCTGTAGCTCATCAATACAGCATGTGCCTCAAACAGGCCCTGGATTCGATCCCTAGCACCTCAAAAGAGAAAAAAAATCTTTATCTTCCTCTCTCATTCAAAGGACTTGGTAGACCTCCTCCAAAATAAATAACAACAGCTAATGTTTATAAAGCATTTTCTAGTTTCTAAGGATCATTTTAATGATTTTATGTGTACTTAAGCCCTCCAACAAGTTGAGGATATAGGTTCTGTTTTTAGTCAAACCATATCAAATTGCTGTTTTTATAGGTCAAAATGGTCAGGTTGGCAATTTTATATTATCCAACTAAACCCAGATTAGGGAACTGAAGCACAGAGGCTACATAACTTACCCAAGGTCACATAATGGTCAGTTGCAAATTACTAGTCAGATGGTCAGTGGTAAGATTACTTTCATAAGCCCTTTTCACTGACAGTGGTTTTAATGTTCCTATGAGCTTAGATTCTGAGAAGTAGAGAAAAGTTCTCAAGGCATTAGTGCAGATTGACACTGGTATTACTCTTGGGCAGACCAGAGGCTCTGGGGCTTTTTCCTTGATCAGGCAGCCTGTGATTACTTTATCAGCAGAGCCAGTAATCAGCAAAGGCAAATACCTTCAATAAAAAAGAGTGAGTCGTTGCGGCTTCAGCTTCTTATACACACTAAACTATAAACTTTAATGCCAATATTGTACTTACTTAGGTATTTATCAGTATTAATGGCCTTCCAGACATCCTTGAAAAGTTGGCATGTATTAACTAGGGAAAATAAAACAGTAAGTTTTAAAATAATCGAATGAACTCATTGAAATATATCTGATTATTATTTTCATCCCCTCAAAGACAGGAAGATCTCCTAAAATCTTATAGTATTGAGCAGAGCTCTAATATCAACCAAGTGGTAATGTAAATCCTTGTGAGTCTATAAAAGGCAGATATTAACCAGGGTGAATGCGTGAGTCATTTGGGGAAAATAGTTTGGAAAAGGGCCCAGAATTTAACTATCAGAACTGTGAAGCTGAAAAGATCATCTCTCCCAAACTCTTCCTTTTAGGGCATATGATGCGCCTGGCCTGCATACCCATCCAGTGGCTTCCTCTCTGCCCAAGTCCTCCTACCTTCCACAAGGAGATGGCTTGCAAAACCTCTTTTCAGTTAAAAAAAGAAGCGTGCCTGAATCTTTAAAGTCATTTTGAGAATGGAACAAAACTATTCTTAGTATAGATTGATTTTTCTAACTCATTTGCTTCTCAGAGTATTTTTAAATTGAAACCATGGAAATATTAAATATTAATAAAACTTTTTTTTAAAACCCTCAATCCAATCTTTAAGAAAATATTTCAGCCAAATGCATTTAACTAAAACATTTATCTGCGGATAGGTTTCTTTATTTTTATTCAAACTTTCAATTGATTGCTTTTAAGTGATGGATGAAACATTAAATGTTCCCTGACTTAGAGCTTTCCCTTTCTCCATCATAAACTGACGTTTTTGTGGATCCTTTGTGCTGCAGCATTCAAAACTGCCTTTTTAAGAAGTAACGAAAAAATAGTATTTGCTACAGTCAGCAGATGGTTGTCACATTTTGTTTTCAGCACGCTTTACCACTTAATTTTGTTTTGTTGCAGCATCAGAGGTTGCCAGTCAAGCATCTGCTATAGCTTATGGCCCAGGACTGGAGCCACTGCTGATGGCACATGTTCAGAACAGCACTAATCTAAAATAAATGTTTAATAAGCTAGCCATAAAAGCACCTGGATTTTTAGTCTTTAAATTTCACAAAACTGCAAGAGTTGGAGGTTGGAAACAATTCTACGTAAGATTTGACTTGTGCGTTTTTATGTAGTTTACTATATGAAAAATAATGCTTTTTTTTTCCCTAATCTTTTGTGAATTCCAGCTCATCAAGGTGCTGTACAAGACCAGCCATACCAGCTGCCAGTGGAAATCGATCCTCTCATAGGTCTGTCACTTCCTTCTCTCTTTGCGATTCATTAAGCTCTGTATGGTGGCCCTGAAGTGTAGATTACAGTTGTTTTTCACTTGCTGGTTGCTGGGAATGGAATTTTCCTGATAAACCATTTGCATGCAAATTGGAATGCAATGAGCTGTGGCTATGCTGGTATTTCATCAACTCCCCCTCGTTGGTTTGCCTAATTTGAACAGGCCTAGGACGCGTGTCACTGAAAATTAATATGGATGCTGTAATAATGTGTGATTGAGAATGCGCATGAAGTACTGTCAGGATAATATTGGATCTTTTCATCACTCAGACTTGTTGATGAGCAGGAGCGAGGCACGTTATGATGAATTGGCGCACCGGTAATGTGATGGAGCTCCTTTGCTAGGGAAATTTTCATAATAACAGTGGGGTTCTTAGCAGCACTGTGTTGTGAAAAATAAAACTGTAGTGCCAGGGTTTCATCATTAAAAGAGATCAATCCTTTCTTCCTAGACCCTCCGTTCAGTCTGGGGATTAATGTGCAATTGCAGAGCGGTTTCAAAGTTGAAATATATTACCCAGCCAATGGTAGCGTTAAGATATTTGTATTCATTTTCCTAGGGTCCTGCAGCCCAATAAATTGCCATTGGAGGGATAAAACAGGGAGAAGATCAGAAAGAGCCATTGGGATAAACTGTGCTTCTGCAGCACATGACTTAGAATATGTAATTGCTGCTATGTCTTTTGAGTAGGTTAGTTGGAATTTTCATCGCCATATGGGAGCCTTTCAAATGTGGCATCATCAAAAATGTTCAGCCTTGAAGATGCTGTTCAGTAACTTTTAGAATAAAAAGCCCAGTTGCCTCCCTCTGGGGTAGGCTACCAGCATTGATGTTTGGCTCATAATTTTGTCAGATTTCTCTGGTACAAATAAATTTGGTAGAGTTTAACATTTTTAAAGAAAGTGTATGAATTAATAGATTTATTTTTTTCAAATCCAAGATGTCCCCTATGCATACATTACCTTTTTTTTGTCTTTAAAAGCTTTATCTCAATAGAGAGCTAAATGGCTACCATTTGCAGGTAGACTATCAGGATGGACAAAAATAACCTAAAGCTCAAAACCAATTTATTTACCATTTTCTAAAATATAAGCAGAAATCTAAAAAGTATCTATATGAAGGATAAGTACTACTGTTTTCTAAATTGCATTTTGCTTTGAATACATTTTTTTAAAAAATTAAAATCTTACTTGTATAGCTTTAGGAGTGAGGAAAATAGTAAAGCCCATTCTCTAAGTCATAGAAAGCCTTATTTCTGATTTATAGGCTCATTGTTTGCTTTAAAATGTGCCAATAAATATCTTTAGTGTAAAGCCTAATTAAATCCACAATTGTAACCTTTATAACAAGGATGGGTAAGCTTTTTTAGTAAAGGGCCGGATAGTAAATATTTTAGGCTTGTGAGCCATGAGGTTTCAGAACAACTACCTAACTCTGACATGATAGCACAAAGCCACCATAGACAATACTTAAATAAATGAACATGGTTGTTTTCTAATAAAACTATATATATATATATATATATAAAATAGGCATGGGCCTGATCCATCCTGTGGACTATCGCTTGCCCTCTGTGCTCTAGATCTCCAGTCATTAGACTGTGCCTCTGTTCCTAAAATAATTATTTAAAACCATGTTATCTTCTCAAAAATTTTAAGGTTGACTTCTAAAAGTTTCATCCCAAGTTGAAATACTCAGAATTTCTGGCATAGATAAAAAAAATTTAATGTATCCAATGGAATCCCTAAGTATCAGAATGAATTGATACTCAACAATTTCTATTTTTATTATTATTATTTTTTATTTTTGGTACCAGGAATTGAACTCAGGGGTACTTAACCACTGAGCCACATCTCCAGCCCTTTTTATGTTTTGTTTTGAGACAGGGCTTCTTTGCTAAGTTGCTGAGGCTGGCTTTGAACTTGTGATCCTCCTGCCTCAGCCTCCTGATCTGCTGGGATTACAGGTGTGCACTACTGCATCTAGAAACAATTTCTATTTTTTAAAAATGCATATAAAAGCCCTTAATAATTAGAAATTTTACTTCATTCCTGTTTCATCTTCAATTTATGTTTTTATCCTACTTCCCACACATAATTTTATCTTACCTTTTTAAAATTACACTTTTCAGGAATAAAAATATACAGAAAATTAAACACAGGTATATAAATTTAAATTTTAAAATTTTTTGGGCTGGGGATGTGGCTCAAGCGGTAGCACGCTCGCCTGGCATGCGTGCGGCCCGGGTTCGATCCTCAGCACCACATACAAACAAAGATGTTGTGTCTGCCGAGAACTAAAAAAAAATAAAATAAATATTAAAATTCTCTCTCTCTCTCTCTCTCTCTCTCTCTCTCTCTCTCTCTCTCTCTCTCTTTAAAAAAAAAAAGAGAAAACATTTAAAAAAAAATAAAATTTTCTATGACCAGAAGGCTCACCTTTCTACAAAATTAATCTACATTGAGTGATCATTATAAGTATTAATACTTATGTTAGCATTATAATAAAACATTTATTAAATGTAAAAATAACACAGACATTTATTGGAAACCAGTTTTTATTGAAATAGTTGGAGCTTTCCCCCAATTAGTTTGGGTATTCCTAGATGGACCTACTATCTGTCAACAGGTCTATCCTACTATTTTGTTTTTAAGGATGGGAATGATAGCCAGGCAAGGTGATGCACGCCAATATCACAGCACTTGGGAAGCTGAGGCAGGAGGATCAGTTGAGTCCAAGAGTCCAAAACCAACCTGGATATTGAGACCTCATCTCCAAAATAAAGAAAGATATGGAAGCTCTAAGGAATGTTACTCACATAAAAAATAGATGAGAAAGGAAGGAGTTTTAACTGTGTCAGACATCTTTGAACTCCTTTGTATGTGGCAAAATTTATATAGCGATCTAATAATAAGTTATCTTTGTGGTCTAATAATAAGTTATCTTTCATTGTAACAATCTATTATTGAAGCTTATTTTTAATGATGTATTAATTAACAGTGTGATTAGATCCTCATTTTATTTTATTGAAAACCACCTTAACTACACAGAATATATTATCTAAGCATTCACTTTTTGATATCACATCACTATTTGAATTATCCCTGTATTAAGCTCCCAAGAGATGTTTATACCCTGGGGTAAAGCATCCTAGAAAGACTCTACATGGAAGGGAAATATGTCATTATTTTATCCAGTGTTAGAAGAGCATGAGGAAAGGGAGACGAGAAAGGAAAACTCACAGGAGAGTTCTCAGGCAAATCAATTTTAGGCAAGAGAATATGAAAGTTGAAGAACTAGAGATTGATTCCCCTAAAAACATCTGTGCCTGTTTATCCCCTGGGAAGTCTCATACCCCTAGGGGTATGCATGCCTGAGTTTGAAGACTGCTTATTTAGACAAATATACTCAATTTTCATTGAATAAAAGTACTTTACTGAATCTCAAGAAGTTTACTATTGAAAACAATAAGATTATGTAAAAGCTGCTGTGAAATATACTAGATAGATAGATAGATAGATAGATAGATAGATAGATAGATAGATAGATAGATGGCTTTGTGAAGTTAAATTATAAGCACTTGCTTAGGAAATAGTTCATCTTAAGGCTGAAGGGGCATCAGCCTTTGTCCATGGGTACTTTGTGGTCCCTGAGTTCAAAATTATGCATATGTCCAGATCTGTTGAAGAGGTTTTCCCAGAGGCCACTACTCAAAAGTGACCAATGGAAGTTTATATCATAGAAGCAGAAGTCATATAAACACTGCCCAAAATAAGCATTTTCATAGTTCCCATGTGGAATGAAATACTTGCACAAATACTTGCAGTAACCAGTTTAGAAAGTACTACATATATTGTTTTTGATTTCTAGGTTTGGGGGAATTTAAAATAAAAATGTATCACACACCTTCACTGCAGTAGGATACTGTTTCTTTCTACTACATTACCATATCCGTAAAAGCTTTTTCATCTGCTAGCAACTTCCCTTTGTGTGGAAGAATGGGGAGAAATGATCCCCAACTAGAATTCTGCCTGTTTTCTACTGCTACTACTTTCTAGTCCATTAATTCACCCGAAGTATAAGAAACCTACATTACCAAACAGTTATCTCCTGACCTAAAATGGCCACACTGTGCCCACAGACTTTGGTAGAGTTCTGCAGGACTTCGCATGTACATGTGTATTATGTGGTGTATACCATCATGGCAGGGACGATTCCATCCTCAGTGTCCCCAGTGGTTCCCAGCACAGCACAGGAGGGTGTTTGGAACACTTTTTTCCTTGTTTCCGAGCCTTCTATTAAAACATCCACATAAACTTAGTTATTATACACAATGAATATAAATATCTTTCTATTTTCATATTTATTAATAATGTGTAACCTTTTTTCCTCAAAAATTGAAAACTGGTAAAAAGAGCTTACTAGTTAGATGCATAAATTAGTATTGTCTATTCTGAATTTCTGGTATAATAGAGTTTCTTTCACAGTTCGAGAACCATTATTTGCATTGGAAATTAAAAGCTAAATTAGATCCCCGGAAGCAAAGCCAAAAATGCATCTCAGTGAAAATTCCTTCTCTGATAATGGCATACTTGATAGTATCCTCCAAGAGGATTATTACTTTTCCTGGTGCTTGGTGTCACTCTGTGTCTGCCCTCATGCCTTGTGACAAACCGCATCTCAGGTGCTCTGAAGCACTTGGAACACACTGCCAGACTGTCTTGTTTTATTGCTTCAATAAGGAGTAAGAAAGTGGCAGTGTGCTGTGCTTTGGCTTTTTCAATTACAAGAATCTTTAATAAATAGTCATTTTAGCCTTTCCTCACATGCAAGCACAGCTGTAAACAGGGGAAATGGGAGTTCCCATCTAGTCAAATTAAAGACCCGTTAAAGCCAAAGTAGTACAAGATGCTACAATATTTCAAGTATATGACATTTAAATCCTAATATCTCTTCCTTGTGACAAAATGTTAAAGGTAATAGATTGTCACAACATGAATCCATTCTCATGACAATAGATGTAATGAGATTGTCAGAAACACAAACCTAACTGTGATGCAGTCTGGAGGTTGTAATCTAGTTTGGTCCTGCCCAAGAGCTAGAAAGCATGTACTGCGAACTGTACACTATTTTTAAATTGTATGTTATTATTTCTTTCCTCTAAGCAAAAATTTTTTACCAAGATCTTGAACTTAACCACCCACATTTTTCTAGCAATTGTGTTTTCCTATTGGGTTTTTAAAATATTATTAATTTAAAGTTAAAGGTCAAGTATTCTTATTTAAAAAATTGTCCCCTTTCCTCCTCACCCCTAACTCCCAGTATGACAATCTTTACCCATGTGTGCTTAGTAGGTTTTTTCTTCCTTCCTCCATTCTCACAGCCAGCAATACAGGAATGCACAGGAGGCAAATCACTGACCTTTTAGACCAAACTATTCAAGTCCACTCCCAGTGCTTTGTCATCACTTCAGACAACCGCTATATTCTCGTCTGTGGCTTCTGGGATAAGAGTTTCCGAGTCTACTCTACAGACACAGGTAATTTTTATTTTCCTCCATTAGTGAGCTAAAGTTTGTAACTATTGGCATTGAGAGGCTTAGAATGCTTTCCTTATCTTCTTCCTTCCAAAAACTATATAACTCTGAAATTTGTAAAATAAGAATGAGAGGACACTGTTTTCCCCTTTCAAAAAATAATCTGCTGCTGGGAATGGTGGTGCATTTTGTAATCCCAGTGCCTCCGGAGGCTGAGGCAGGAGGATCACAAGTTCAAAGCCAGCCTCTCCAATTTAGTGAGGCCCTCCACAACTTGATGAGCCCCTGTCTCAAGAAACAAAACAAAAAAGACTGGGGATGTGGCTCAGTGGTAAAGCCTCGGTTAAATCCCCACTACCAAAAAAGAAAAAAATATATATTATTTAATATTATTTATATAAATAATTATTTTATTATTATAATAATCTGCCAACTAATCTGCCACATTGTCCACTATTGAGTAAACTACAACCTGTTTTTAAGTAGCAGTCTTTTATAGTAGGTTTATCTACCAGGCACCGTTTTGAAGGCAAAACCCCCTATGAAAATACCATACACATGTGTATGTGCATGAACTTATGACATAGTGTATCTTTCTGCTTTTGTGTTATTTAAAAGATTTTCTTTTCCTCACTGGAAAGACTCATTAAGTATCTCTCTTGGGAGTAGATATCTTGCCTCCACCCAATTCTGCATAGAATGTTGCCAAAAGCTGCACCAACATGAAGAAAAGTAGCAGACTACTGATTTTATGTGTGACAGGAACTCTTGTTAAAATATAGTTTAAGTCTGTATATGCATTTGCATGTATCTCCCTAGGGAACAAACAAGCTCTCCTCTGTGTTATTACAGGAGATACAACCCAAGAAATGTTTATAAATGTTTGCATATAGGAAAAGCATTTAGATATTTCATGGAGTTTAGAAACAGAGGATAAAACAAACACATAATAAATATGTAATCAAATACTTTAAATAATTAAAATTATATATCAGTTCATTAGACTAATTAATATTTATTATGGAAGTGTTTTTTTGTTTTGTTTTGTTTGGTTTGGTGCCGGTAATTGAACCTAGGTCCTCATACGTGCTTAGAAAGTACTCAACCACTGAGCTATGCTCTGAACCCCTGGAAGTAGATATTTTAACTAAAACAAGAATCTACATATGTCTTAGTGAAATATTATTACAGAATGGAAATATCTATTTAATTGAGATTTCTAGTTAATTAAATGCTTTAAGGTAAATAATCTTTCAGTCTTATTAGTAATATATAAAGTATGAGTTTATGCTCCTATATTACCAAGTATAGTATATTGAAAAATGAAGTATTTATTACTCAAGGAGTTTAATTGTTTTTTTTTTCCCTTCATTCTTTTATAGTATTGTAAATAGCTAAGAGAAAGTAGGGAAATGATAATTGACCATGAACCTTTCATTGAGGTAACTCCATAAATTGTTTTTAGGCATGATTTTTGCTTTATGGAATTGGTGATCTAGTTTTTTTTTATATAGCTTATATCTTTGTTCTGGGGGTCTTGAATAAAGCATGCTCATTCAGGCTTTTACTAGATGTTTTAAGTCTTTGTGGTGGAACACTATTGAACCTGAAATTTCACTAACTTTCTCAAAAAATACAATGGGAACTGACTGGTAAGTTTTCCTAAAATGTAGGAAATTATAATGAATTTTTATAATGAATTTGCTCTGCTTTGAAATCAAATTCAAATTTTAGCCTTTTTATTCTATGGTATTGACAGCCTTAGCATTACTTGATCTCGAATTGTGCTCGGTTTTTTACACAAATTAACTTTCAGGTTAAACCTGCTATATCTTCTCACTAGATTCTTATAAATATTCTTTTAAGTAGTATATTGGTTGTTCACACATTAGAAAGACTTATTTTTAAATTTAGGTGGTATGATTTGTTCCTTTTGGTTTATACTTATTAGTTTCGACAGTGCATACAGTTAAGTAACCACATCACAATCAAGGTACAGAGCAACTCCACTGCCCTCCAGAATTTCCTTTGTGCTGCGCAACTTCTTCCCACACCCTCAGCCTCCTGCAAACACTGCCCGTTCCTCGTCTCCTCTTGCCTTTTCCAAAATTTCATATAAGCGATTTTGACATTTAAGTTTTTTTAATTTGTTGATGTTCCCTATTTTTTAAAAATATATTTTTAGTTGTAGATAGACACAATATCTTTATTCTTTTTTTCTGTGGTGCTGAGGCTCAAACCCAGTGTGCAAGGCAAGCAGTCTACCACTGAGCCACAACCCCAGCCCCAGATGTTCTCTATTTTTTAAAGGCATTGAATGTTAATATTATAAACCAAAAGTAGCTTCACTTTCATAATACTAATAATCAAGCTAATTCCTATATTCACAGTTTTTTAGAATTTATAAAAATTCTTTTACATACATGATATTGTTTTCAACTCACAATAATCCTGTGGAGTAGACAGATGTCCTTATCTTTATTTTTCAGATGATTGAAGTGAGGTTTAAAGAAGTTAAGTAACATGTTGAAATTTATGTAGGTAATGCTGATGGAACTGGGCCTTGTAATTTAGTTCTTCTGCCTTCAAATATAGCATTCTTTGTGATTGTACCCTCTTGTCTCATACAGGTGTCACCAATCATTGGTTAGTTTGGAAAACATTATAATTTGTAACACTAAGTTCTTGGTACATCTGCCATGTTACATAAAATTTAATAAACTAGATATCAGTTGTTTTCCTTCTCCCAAAAACCTAATGTACTTTTAAAAAATTATGTGTGAATAAAGCATTCTCACAAGGAGTAGCCTTACTTTAAACTTCATTTCCATAAGTTGTGAATAAAAATATTTATTTATACTTGCCAGAGACTTGAAGGAAAAAAAATATGTCAAATGATAATCCAAGTATCTTTCTCAATGTCTATATGCAAACTTGGATGGTAGATTTTAAAATAATCTCAGTTAAGGTATATGCATTTGTTTTTAACAACAAAAAGAATATTAAACATTTTTTCTATGTTTGTCAGAGAAGCATGGGAAAAACTGTATGATCAGTAATATATAATGGCAAAGCTATCACAAGTGTTGAATTCAATTATATTTTAGCACACAAGCCAAAAAAAAAAAAATTCCTTCTCTTATTAGATTTGGTGGGGGGAGGAGGGAGGAGAAACACGGTTGTAACAGGAAATTCTTTAAACATAAATCATGTTTTCGGGGCACAACCAGAACAGCAGAGGCAACAATAAAACCTTCCCCCGGCAGTTGGAATTATTTTCAGGCCACATTTTAGATTCAGTGGTGCAGAGTCCTGAGCTGGAATTTTTTTATTTGTAGCGCAGCTGTCAAATAAAACATTAACTAGAAAATTTGTTCTGTCAAAAAAGGGATATTCTAGTGCTTGTGGTAATATTTGATATTAGTGTGTGGAGAGGTGGACTAGTATTAAAGGAAACAAAAAATAAAGGTTGAGGAACACTTATGAGATTATCAGAAAATAATTTACCAAAAAGAGCAGCAGGTATTTATATGTTGTGATTTATTTAGGAGGAGTGAGCCTCAACCTCATAGCAACAGCAGAAATTGCCACAGAAGCCTGCCAGAGCAGGGAAAAGTAAACCTAAAAAAAATAATGTTTTCCAGGGTTGGGTCTGAAGTATAAATTGTAGAGAGTAAAGTTAATTTTTATTAAAATATGAAACCCTTTCCAATTAACTGTGTAAATGTCCCATCTTATGGAGAGCTTCCCCGACACCCAAATTGTGTTCTACCTTGTTACTTTCTCTGATCTTTTTCTTTTCTTGTATAATTCTTGTCACTATTTGTAGTTACATGTTTGTCTCTTTGGTGTCCCTGGACACCACCATGCCATAGTTGGTGCTCTGAGAGCAGGACTGTATCTGATCACCACCATGTCCACTTAAACAAGCCTGGCGCTTGCACTCTGCAGGTGCTCAGTCAACAGTTTTCAAATGAAAAATTATATTGATAACTATATAGGCAAAAATTAAGACATCAGGGAATTTTAGTTGCAGAAGAATGCACAGTGACTGAGTATATGCTTTCCAAGGGCTCTGACATTGGAAGAATGGCCATGGACTTAACTAATGGGAATTAACACGTGAATCTTAGAACATTCTGCCTCTATTTAATGCAGCCTTATTTCCTTGCTAAATTTTTCCACCCTGTGCCCACAGGTGTTGGGAAGTAAGGTAGCAAGTAAACGGCTGCTCTTTGGGAACCTCCTGGTGCCCCCTCCGCACCCCCTACCACAGGTTCCTACTTAGTTCTAGTTCTTTCTCTCATGCTCCTTGCTGAGTTTCACATCCAAAATAAGTCTAAATACTGGGGTGACTTAAATAGGAAATAACCTATTTAAGTCACCCCAGTATTTACACACTCACACTTAGCAATAGGCTAAATACAAGTCACTTACATACTCACTGATCAACACATACACACAATATGGAGTGTCCAGTTTCCTTCAGTGATTAAAACACACTAATTTAACTTTCAGTTTTCTAATTATTAGTAAGAGTACATTCAGCCAGGTGTGGTGATGCATGCCAGTGGCTCAGAGGCTGAGGCAGGAGGACTGCAGATTCCAGACCAGTCTCAGCAACATAGGGTGGCCCTGTCTCAAAATAAAATATATATATATATATAAAGGTCTGGGGATGTGACTTAGTGGTTAAGCATCCCTGGGTTCAATCTCCAGTACAGAAGAAAAAAGTACATTCAGCTACCTGACTTCTCACTTCTCTTATCTCATGTAAGGCCTGCCTGTAATCTCATGGTACCCATTCACTACTAGACCTCTTCATTTTAAAATGAAGTAAAAATTATTATGTTTTTCATACTTAATTTTGTATTTTGGTGTTTTTTATTCTGGAAAGTCTTGAATTCTTATCATAATTTTAAAAATCGATATAACCTAATTTTGTAAGTGAAAATTTTGTTGGTGTTCATTTAAAAGGCTGAAGACTGGCTGGGGTTGTTGCTCAGTGGTAGAGCGCTTGCCTAGCATGTGTGAGGCCCTGGGTTGAATCCTCAGCACCACATAAAAATAAATAAATACAACAAAGGTATTGTGTCCAACTATAACTAAAAAATAAATATTAAAAAAATAAAGTGGGCTGGGGATGTGGCTCAAGCGGTAGCGCGCTCGCCTGGCATGCGTGCGGCCCAGGTTCCATCCTCAGCACCACATACAAACAAAGATGTTGTGTCCGCCAAAAACTAAAAAAAAAAATAAATAAATATTAAAAATCTCTCTGTCTCTCTCTCTCTCTCTCTCTCTCTCTCTCTCTCTCTCTTTTAAAAAAAAATAAAGTAAAGGTATTGTGTCCACCTACAACTTTTTGAACATTTACCAGTTAACACCTGCCTTGACTGAAGTCTTTGCTTCTACTGAATCATGGGAGGAAAAGAATGTACTTTTTGTTTTGCTTTTGAGATTGAAATAAATTTGATATTAAAGTTACTAGTACTATGCTATGTGCAAGACTACCACTCATGAGTGAAAACATGTATTCAGCATTCCACCTGATGTGGATAATATATCTTTCAGCATTTTATTTTTAAATTTTTAAAATAAACCTTAGGTTTATTTTATTCCTTTGGTAGTGAGGATTGTAATGTAAATGTGTAATGTCCCCATCTTATGGAGAGCTTCCCCGACACCCAAATTATGTTCTACTTTGTTACTTTCACTGTTCTTCTTTTCTTGTATAATTCTTGTCACTATTTGTAGTTACATGTTTGTCTGTTTGGTGTCCTTGGTCACCACCATGCCATAGTTGGTGCTGAACCTAAGGGTTCTTCACCATTGAATTACCTTCTCAGTCCCTTTTATTTTGAGATAGGGTCTCACCAAGTTGCATAGGTCTCACTAAGTTGCTGAAGCTGGCCTGGAACCTGTGATCCTCCTGCCTCAGTCTCCTAAATTGCTGGGATTACAGACATGCACCACCAAACCTTGGGTTTATTAGAATCAAGAACTTAAATTTTTTAATGCAAATGCTTTCTTAGTTACATTCATTATTAGCTTGAAAAGTTAAAAACACTTAGATGCCAGTATTTCTGAATAGTTTATTATGTATTCCAATTGAAACACACAAGCTTTTTAGGCACATTTTTTTTTCTTCAATTTAGTAGTCTTTTTCTTGACTATTTGAATCATATTTTTATGACTCTACTGAGACTTTTTAAAAAATCTATGCCTAATAGATTCTTTGAGATTTATTTGTAGATTCTGTAGACATTTCAAAGGAATGTTGGTAGAACTAACTTTGGGAATGGTGCAGAGGAGCTGCGACAGATACTTAATTCTGTGGATGAGTTCTTATGAATTTTAACACAATCTCTGGCTGAACAAAAGTTCTAAAGGGCAAGGGCTTTAGTGTTTTTTCCTGACATCTTTACTTGGACATCTCTTCCTGTGTTTGAAGCCCTGTGGGTATAGTAAGTTGACTGGGTTCCTCTCCACTGTACCCAGCCATCACCATTAAACTGCCTAATCTTGATTTCATCATCACCCCCAAAGGAATTTTCATCATTCAGACAATTAAAACAAAGAAAGAATGACTTAGCTCAAATTGCAATCACAATAAATTAGTCTTTTCATAAAAAATTACATTGGATGGACTCATGTAACCCCAGTTTAAAAAAGCAGAAGCTCTCTCCAAAGTGACTTAAAAGAAGAAGAAATATATTAAATCTTCACTAATTCAGAGACTGGTTTATATTAGTGAAATCTGAATTACAGAGTACTTTTACAGAAAGGCAACCAAGCTTTGTTTTATTTTCAATCATGTAGGATTACTCAAGAAAATGTTAAAAATGGTTCCAATAAGGGTGCTCCTGAGCCTGCTTTAATAAGCAAACACGATCCATTTGTTACTTACAGTAGCCATTTGTAAAGGATATGGTCTCTTGGTCCTCAAGAATCATTTGTTGAAATAGGTTTAACATATGCCTTTCAAAAGTGTTACCACTGTTTAATTAATTTTTTGTTATTGTTTATATTTAAGGAAAAATTCAGAGTTGTTGTTATAAAATCTGAGTTTTCAGAATCTGAGTTAAAATGGCATCTCAAGTTGTTATCTGCTCACTAGAAACTTATTTTATTTTTTTAAATAGCAATTTAGTAAATAGTAAATTTAAAAGAAAATTGTTTTCTATTTCAGGAAAATTGATCCAAGTGGTGTTTGGCCATTGGGATGTCGTCACTTGCCTCACTCGTTCTGAGTCATATATTGGGGGAAATTGCTACATTCTCTCAGGGTCACGTGATGCTACGCTTCTGCTGTGGTACTGGAATGGAAAAAGCAGTGGAATTGGAGATAACCCAGGTGGTAAGTACAACTTACATTTTAAGTGAACTTTTACATGTGACGTAGAAATAACATATTGCAGTATAAGTTACCTTATGGTGAGAGTAAAACTGAATAATCAAGTATTTTTAATTTCTTAGTTATAATTTAAGAAATATCTAAATGGACTGGTCATTAAAACATTTTGTGGCCATGATAATTAAAATTGATGCATGAAATCCTACTTTTCTGTTATGTTATTCTTACAATCCAAAACTGCTAGCTCTTCATTGGAAATGGCTGTCACCAAATAAAATAGAGGTGTTTTATTCATGAACAAAAAGATATAACATAAAAGAACAATCACATATTATCTTGTTTATTGAATTCATATTTTAAAAGAGCAAAATAAAAATTATAATTTCATGGAAATCGACCAGTCTTTATAAAATTATGCTTTCATTTACATATTAAAAGATAAAATAGGTCATAAAAGGCCAATATGGAATATTCAAATTGGCTCTTGGTTTTTCAGATGGGAAATGAAAATGTTCACCAACAGCCTTAAACATCTTTATGAAACTGTGCTGAAGGCAGTAAAACAAAAAATGTGTAACCATTTAAAATTGTAATTCACAGAAGGCAAAAAAGGAAGCAGCAACCATTAAAGCCAATCGCACACAGCTGCAAAAAAGAAATGGCTTCAGAAAACACATTAAGAAGTAGGAAAAAACAATTAAAGGGACCACCTGAAAAATGAGAATTTAATTAAAATGATTATGACAATAGTGAAGAATTCCTGCAAGAATAGCTTTAGATTTTTTACTTCATAAGGTAGAGCATTTGAACTGCTCTTAAATATTTACAGTTTCTTAATATAAAGTAAGTCACAATGTATTTGGCTAAGGAAGGATCATGTTGTCCCTGATTACCTGAATACTGTGGTATTTACTTCTGTTACTTAGCCTTAAATTATGAAACACTGTGAATATGTTTAATCGCATTGTATTTTGGATCAACTCCTCAGAGTTGTGCTTAAATGGATAATATTTGTGTGAAAGCAAAAGCTTTGTTCAAAAAATTTAGTCAAAGGCTAGTATGACTTTAAAAGGAATATATGCAAAGTATTTTTCGAAGTTGCTTCTTATTATGTATGGACTGGTAAGTAAACACAGATTTTACTCAGTTAACTTTTAATATGTATTTCTTATTTTAATGAAAGTATGAATAACTCCCTACATAAATAGAATATGAAAAATCAGTGGTTATAATACTGTGGATAACTCAGTCTTTGTGATCAGACCAAATCGCAGTGTGCATGTGGTGTGTATCTTACATATTTATACAGACCTCTCCATTTTATGCATATAGTTACAGTATCAATTTTAAAGCTACCGGTTTTAGGGATTTTGTTCTTCATATTCTGTAGGAACGTACTTGACGCTCTTCTCATATGCAGACTGATGTTCCTGTTCTTTGGCCTTCTGGCCTCTAGGTTGAGTGACTAGTTTCAATTTCTTTTCTTCCATTTACAAGATTTACTAAATTATCTCAGGTGAACTTAAATTTGACATAGATAATCAATCTACCATTTTATTATTTATCTTAAAACATTTAGGAACAAAACACACGTACACACATCTGCAAAGGAAGCGATGTGCGTCTTGGTTGTTTTGTTTTCTTTTTTACTCATTTACTTAATCATGTTTTGTATGCTGTGCATAGTCATTACTAATGTGAATTCTGAGACATAAAGACATTACTAGCTATACTCATGTGTAATTGCTGTTGCATTTCAGAAATTTAGGTATAATGTGTTTGTTTGGTGCAAGACTTAATATATTTTAAAATGAGAAATCCTCAGCTTTTCCAGAACGTGGAAACTATTCTATTTCTATATGGGGGCTTGGTGGTATATGTTTAAATATATCTTTATATACTTAAGTATTTTATAAATTAATGTAGAGATGGTTTTTACACGCACGTTCTTTAAAAAATGAATCAAGTAGGTGTGACCTAATCTGGGGTTCGTAGTAAAATCTAAGTTCCCAGTTCTGCCGTGGTTCTTTTCTCTTGTCTATAAAATGAAAGCAACAGCAGTAACTGGCCTAAGGTGTTATCAGAAGCACAGGATGCTCAGCAAATAAATCACCGCACAAACACCATCTTGTTGGCATTAGAGTACATATTATAATGTTATATTTTTCATGAAGCACTTCATCTATACCCTCTCATTGTCTGTAGTATGGTGGACATTAACTCCTAGTAATGCTGGTAATGAGGAGGAAAAATAAAAGAATAATAAAACAGCACATCTAATACAAATTTTAGAAAATTGTAATGTATCTTGACTAAATTAAATTACCTTTCTCAAAGTGAACCTCGTCCTTTCTGGCCCTTTTATAACATCTGATGTCCCAATTTAATTTAGCTTTAGCTTTGAAGGATGAATCTGGGAGAAAGACAAATAGGCACTTTTTCATATTATAAGAATTTGCACACATTAAAGAAAATGAAAAAGCTTTTTTCTAAGCTTTTTGAAAGAAAAAATGACAAAAACAAAGACATTTTTACTATGTATAAACTAAAACATTCACACAAGCTGGTTTGGATTTTATAAGCCTCTGGCTCATTGATGGCTCCACGATGCAGACAGAGCTTTTCAGAGGGGAGTTGTAGGTTCTGCTCATTCCTGTAGCATGTCTCTTAGGTGCAGTAGAAATGACCTTCAAGAAGTGGTCAGGCTTTTATATACATCTAATTGCAATATGGCCTGAAAATGCATATAATGCCTCAACCTTAAAATTTGTATTTTAGACTTATTTTCTTTCTTGAAGGGGGAAATAATTAAATGGAAAAAAACTAAGACATTGCTTTTATTTCGTTTTATAGGCCTCATTCAGCTCTCATTTAGTTTTTAATTTAAAAATCATAATAACAAGTGGAAATTTAACTTGCTAGGGTCATGAGCCTATGTGTATCATTCTCTTCAAATATGATAATGGGGCTCTATGCAAAGTTGATAACCATGTAGCTATTTTTAAAAATGCTATCCAACATAAATATGCATATTATTTGGACAAAATCAGGCTAATTCAAGCTTGATAAAGCCTATACATGGTATAATTTGGAGTTTTTAAAAAAGATTCAGATGTTCTCTGAAACCTGCCTAGAGTACTTAGCAAAAGGCTCGCTTTCCTGTATACCACCAGATAGTTTTTCATTTTTTACTCTTTTGTCTTGTGATGGTTAATCTTCTATGGAATGCAGTTTTCTCAGTGACAAGAAAACTTAAAATAAGATTCATTTGGTTGTGGATTTTTAAAAATAAAATTAGCCAAGCGTATTTCAATGGCAGATATTTTCTATGTAGATGTACATTGCCTCTCCTTGCCCTAGGACTTGCTCTCTCTGTTCTAGAACTAAATCTTGTCTAGCAGAAGACTTTTCCTGAGATATTTTTCTTTCAGAATAAATTGTCCATATGCACATTTCCAAATGCTAGAGAAAATATGCCCTCATGCATTCAATTGGTATTTAAATAGTTATTATTTATTGACTGTTTTATATTAATAAATTATAAACTTGGATTTTAAAAATTAAATGCTTATTTGGCACTTTTAGGTCTTGGAGTAATTCTTTTAAAGCCACAGTTGATTAGCTTTAGGAGCAAATGGTTGCTGACTGTGAGAGTGTTGCATAGATTTGTGTGTGTAGTATTTCAGTAAAGTACTTTTCCATTCTTGAATTCTGGTTTTGATTGAAAGGTGGCATTTTTTTTCCTCTTTGCAATCAGACATGCTAATCTATGTCAGCTTTCTCCTTTATGGGAATGGCGTCTACTGAAAAAAAATAAAACTATTCAAGTTTTTTTCATAACAAAAAGATTCTGTTCTTTAAGAATATTTCAGCACCGTTAATTAGAAAGAAGGTTTTATTAACCATAAGGCTAGCACTAACAGACCACAGAGCTGTTTTTTAAAGTACTGTATGCCATAGCTGCCCTGCTTTTTCTCTGTCTAAAACTTCATTTTGTTATACTCTCATCAATCACTTAAGTCATTACCGTAAATCCTACTGTTGTTAATTTTACTAGTATCACCCTAATGAGACATTCCTGCAATAATTAAAAATGAATTCTAACTTTAAGGCATTCTAAATTTTTTTTTAATGAATTTGGAATGATCTTGCCATGTGACTATAAAGTAGTATCGTAAGACGTCCAGGGGTGAATTATTCACTGGTTGCCTCTGTGCACATGTGCTTATGCATATGTATATTTTTGTACACATATTTAGGAATTATGTCTTTTATCGTAAAGCCTAATATGTTTTACTGAAGCTACTGATAAATCCTTATTCTTTGTCTTGCCAAAATATAGGTGGATGCAATACAAACCATATTCCTCTTGAAAGTAGGTGGCCTAGAGCACCATCTGCTGGATGCATTTGGGGACTTACCATGGGAAATAGGAAAATCAGTACTTGGTAACACAGGTGTACTTCGTTTTTAATTGCCTATGGTTTATTATTTATGGGTCACAAATGCCAAGATGTGTATGTTTGTGATAAAATATATTATTTTTCAAGGGGAATCCATGTTATTCTTTTAAAACATTTTTTTTGGTAGTTGTAGATGGACAGAATGCCGTGTGTGTGTGTGTGTGTGTGTGTGTGTGTGTGTGTGTGTGTGTGTTGCTAAGAATCGAACCCAGTACCTCACACATGCTAGTCATGAGCTCTGCCACTAAGCTACAGCCCTAGCTCTCTACTTTATTTTTTATTTTGCCCTACCTAACATGGATTTGGAACTTAACAATAACTCTTTTAAGGAAAAATCACAATATATGCCTAATAAAACAAGCACTGCAGTTTTTATGAGGTAAACTCATTATCTTATTGAGCACAGGTCTTTTGTAAGCTACATTTGGGCAAAACTGTTTAGAAGGTATTTTAATTTAGATTCCTTATGTTCACTAGATTTTGAATAGGAAAGCTATGCTTGAAGCTAGTAGCCTTTTTATCCCTGGGACATGACTCTTG